ATTGCAGTGGCTTGCGCTGAGGTTTCCCAATGCTGCGATATACTTGAGTACGTGTAGAGAGTGTTACGAAGCTTACGTCATTTACAATTTTATGATTTATTTGTTGAATTTCTTAAACTCTGAATATGGGGATGATTTTATACTGATGCTAGAAGCCAAACCACAACAAAAACATTTAATTCCGTTCTGTTGCTTCCCAACATGGAAAAACGGCCGGTGAGTCTCATTTTTACATCAAGTTATTCCATAATATTATTTATGTAATCTGTAATATTATCGTATGTGCTAATTATTGTTTGTTGCGAACAATTTCTTTATGCATGAGAGTAATTGTCAGTGTATGAATATTGAGTGACTGTGTTAACGCTGTTTCTTTATTTTTTTCAGCCAACTAGTACATTGTTGTAAACAGGGTGTTTTGTCGTATACTGTAGTGAGACCAATTACAACAATTATTGCTTTGTAAGTAATTTCATTTTTGTATTTTTTTGTACAAATATAGACAAATATTTGTGAAAAACAAATTAGTATAATTTTAATAGATAAAAAAAACTTGAATGATTTATTTATTTATTTATTTATTTATTTATTTATTTATTTATCCGAATGTCTTCAATACTTTGATCTTAAAATTTATAGTTTATCGACACATATTTTATGTACCTACATTAATGCAAAATTGATCAAAAGATATTGCTCTTATCCTTCATTGATCAATTGCTTCGATATTCTATATGTAGACACCTTGGATAGGCCTTAGTCAGATTTGTTCATTCTGTATGCAGACATCAGCCGACAGTCTGCTTGTTTTCAAAATTAAAAAAAAAATGGCCAATTGTATTCAATCATTCCTATGCTAATTCCTCACTAATATTTTTGCCCTATTTCAGTTTCAGTTCAGTTTTTCAATTTTGTACACTCTGACAGAAACATGGACTTCCAGCAGTATCTATTAACACATGCTTGGACCAATCAAGCTGAAACGTCATACATACATTATATCAGACATATGCACATGCATTTATTTCATGATCCAATTCAAGAAGGCTGAGTGGCAGACATTTAAAGGCAAAATATTTATCAAAATCAGAAATTTTTACTATTCTGGATCTCAGTGGTGCATGAACGAATTCTGTTCAAACTTTCATACATTGACATGATGTGACCTTGATGCATGTCATTTTATTTTTTGGATCAGGTTAAAAATGCTGACTGGCTGCCATTTTGTTTTAAAGAATACAGTTCCAGATATATATACCTGAAGTGTCTGGACTGCTTAAGTTTAAATTTCACACATACTGTACATCATATCGGAAATATGCACATGTATTTGTTTCATGATCCTATTGAAGATGGCCGAATGGCAGACATTTGACTGACTTCTGGCAATTTCTTCTCCAATAATGATGTCCTGCATGTTTCTCAGGCATGCCTGGACTGATTGATATCACTAAAAAACTGAAACTGAACGGAAACTGTGTCATTGGCAGTGATTTGTTCCATTTATTTATGCTTTCCATGTAATAGGTCTACATTGCTTTACTTTTAACTTAAATAACACCCACAACTCTTGTATACCTTGCTTTACTCAAACAATTTTGTTTCATTTCAGAATATGCGAATTAGCTGGTAAATACAAAGAAGGCGACTTTAGTCCCTCGTCAGCATGGCTGTATATTGTTAGCATTAATAATGTATCACAAATTGTGAGTGTCATTTATTTTGTATTTGTTTTCTATTTATTGTGTCAAAGTTCAAAGTTCAAACTATATTGTAATCAGGTCTGTGTGACCATTTTCTTATCATTAGGCCAATTGAATGCATGTACCTCAGCATCAACACAACACCTGTCAGCCTAATCTAAGGTTGACATCTATAGACATTTTGATTCAGCCAGTCATTGTAGCTTTCCATTCAATTCTATGGTGCAGTCAACCTGGGTTTAGGATACTGTAGAAAGATCAATTATTCACCGGGTTTTAATTTTGCTTATTTCGCTGACTGGAAAATGCGCTAAATTAAAACCCGGTGAATATGTAAAATTTAGCATAGAACACATTATCTAAATGATAAAACTGTGAATTTAAAACCCACTGAATATGCCTGAAATGGTAAATCAGTGAAATTTTAACCCAGTGAAAATTAGTCATTTTACAGTATTAGTTTTTGATGTGACATTAAGTGCTATGATGTTTAATCTGTTTCAGTCTGATTATTAAACACATCTTATTTTGCATTGACAGTGGGCCATGTACTGCCTCATACTGTTCTACAAAGCTACCAAAGAAGAGTTACAACCGATAAAACCAGTAGCCAAGTTCCTGTGCGTTAAATTAGTCGTTTTCTTTTCCTTCTGGCAAGCTGTCTTTATCGCATTTCTCGTTGCTATCGGTGTTATCACATCTAATGAAAGTCTTGATTTGGAAGCGGACACAATTGCTACTGCGTTGCAAGTAAGAGTCATCTCCATAGTAACAATAGATTGTTGACAATGAATGTGCATAATGATAAAACCTCAACAAATATTTCCAGAATTGTAAAGGCAGTAAAAGTAGATGTTTTCTTTTTATTTTCACCTCTCCCTGCAGTTCAGTTATTAGCCTTTTTTGTGAAGCCCTGGGACATTTTAACTTATAAACTTTAAGAAGATTTGTTATTTTTGGCAGTGATATACATGCTGGTACAAGTGACTGTTCTGTCTAAAACTATTGAATTTTATGGAGTACCATAATAATGCTATAAATTATTTTTTATGAACTTTATTTTAATAGGATTTAATAATTTGTATGGAGATGTTTGTAGCCGCAATAGCTCATCACTACTCCTTTCCGTATCAACCGTTTGTTGACCCCATGGGACCCTCTACACCGTGGTATAAATCGTTCATGGCAATGTGGGACGTGTCTGATGTCAAAGATGATGTGGTGGAGCATGTCAGGTCTGTCGGTAAGTCCTGGGGTTACAGTTTGCGGGGAAAAGCACTTCGTGATTGAATTGATAGTTATTCCGTGACATTCAGATTTTTTGACATGGTTAGTTGTCGTCTTGTAGTCTGTCAATTGTAAAAATAATCTTTTAGTCATCCATCAGCTGGGGTAAAGCAAGTGCAGTGTTATTCATTAACCATCATTGCATGCAGTTATTGTAAAGTTATATCATTTATTAAAGTACTGTGAAATACTTTATTTTAGCTGGAATAAATTTTTGCTGAAAACACTTTTCAGCCGTTTTGTATGGAATTTATTTTCACTGATTTTTGACAAGTTGAACGTAAAATATAGGAAAAAATGTATATTCGCTGGAGTTTATTTTCACAGAATCATTCCTTGAGTGGAAATAGCGAAAATTAATTCCAAGCGAAAGTATAGTATTTTACAGTAAGCCCTATACATTATAGGCCATTACAAAAAATGCATGAATAGCATATCCTGTTTAATTTCTGACCATATATTATCATTTTGGAAGAGTAATTTAATACAACTAATTTCTGTTGATACTAGATAGCCAATTATTCACTCTAAATCATTAACTAGGGTTTTGGTGCATATTACTATATTTTTGGCATGAACAAAATTTCCCATAATTCCAACGGGGACTATGTC